GCAGATTTGTCGGCCATTGCGCCATATTGAGCATCTTAATATGCATGTCATGGATTATAGTGTAGGGAGTTAATTTTTTTGTTTTACACATCATGAGCCTCTAGTCCCCCACTCCACCTCCTCTTTCTAGCACAGCAACAGCGTAAAAGCTGCACCTCCACTCACTGTCCATAGGGTGGCAGTGTGTGGAGGTGAGACAGCCATGTGCTCTGTGTGAAATGGAGCAGTCACTGGCTATTTGAGCAGATTAGCTCAGAGACAGTAACCACACAGGAATCACACACCCCAACCGCCACTCTCTCTTTTGCTTTCATGACCATGGACCCCCATTTTCTTTGCAGACTGCTGATGACTTTTAAACACAGTCTCACCCTCTTGCTGGAATAGGATTTTCCTAACTGGATCCAGAGCTAAGCACCAGACACATGTACTGTTTGTTTATCTCGCTGTGTCTTTGTTCACAAAAGGATTTGCCTGAAATGTAAACTTCCTCTTTTCGCCACAGCGTGCACTCTGTCTCTCTGTGGCCCTCTTGGAAATACAGTCTCATTCCTCAGAGTCTGTTCTCAGTGCAGCCACGGCAGGCTGAACTGCTCTTTTATTCAGATGAATGAGGCCCTGTTTTGCCCGGAGAATCAGACAGACACAGACAGTCCATGTGAGTGCTTGAAGAATGTGGAAAATCAGGGCCTCAGTGAAATAGCATCTGAGGTATTACATGTGTGCATTTTTTTGTGTCTCTTGCAAAGTTGGTGGATTGTTCTCTGATTCATAAGCATTTGACACCCTGGTCTTGTTTTACCTTAGCCTCTTTCTTCATTACAGCAAGCTGTGGTCTAATGGAAACTGTCGACCTCTCTGTGTGAAGAAAAAAAAAGATGTAGTGTGAGCTTCTATTAAAAGCTGTGTGTTTTGTGCTCATGTATATTAATGGGCAATCAGGTTGTGTTGTATTGTATAAAAGGGAAAATGTTTTGCCTTCGTCTCACTAACATTTGATCAATTTGTCTGCCAGGTGGCAGCTACCTCCATCTGGAATAAGGTTTACTTACATTAAATTTTTTTTAATATGCAATAGTTTTACCAAATGGCTCCTGCAAGCAAGTTTCACTCTCTTGAGTAGCTTGTGTAGCTTGGCAAAGAGATTAGACATATGTAGCCTACAAGTGTCTTGGTTTTCAGAGTGTTGCGAGGCTGCCAAATGTGACTGTGAATAGCTATGTAAACAAGATAGCTATGTGAGGCTAGACCTCGCACTGATTGCCTGAAGTGAAATACCATTCCTTTACTTCTCTCACATTTTTACAACTGTGTTAATGATAGCAAATAAAGGCTTGCTAGGTAGCAGCTTAATTACTAGCTGTCTGTTTGGATTGTCTCCAAAGGACATCTTGATACAGCTGTTTGCTTGTATAGGGAAAAGTGTTAGCTCCTATTGTATAAAAGGCCCCCCATTTCTCCTTTTTTTTCTTTTTTAAATTAATGAAATTTTGCTCTGTCGAGTGCTGTTCTTTTTAGCTAAAGCAATAGTCCTTGAAACAGTGAATCTTCATATCCACAAGTGTGTAGTTAACCATATTTAGTTGAGTAATTTCCTTGAGTTACTTTGTTGGGAGATTGGAGAGGATTGTTTTATTGCTTCCCCTTCTCTCAACCCCCTCCGGGCAAAGTCTGTGTTTTAATTAGTCGTGTAAGACCCTATTTTCCCTTTGGATTCCCCCAACTTATAAAGTGCTCTCTTAAGAATCCACGAAGGCTAAAAGGGGCAATGAATGATTTGAAGTCAGCTTTTTTTTGCCTGCCTGCCAACAGAGAACGAGGGGGGGGTATCAGCACTTGCCGTCAGCATGAGGAACAGTAACTTCAAGCAGCAGTCACACAGAGTCTTTGTTCTTTATGGATTTAGTACGTGTGGCAAAGAGAGAGTCGCTGCTTTAAAGCCCCATCTGGAAAAGCACTGTTCAGGTTTCTAATATGAGTAGAACTGCTCCTGTAGATAATACCTGCCTGTGAATGGTAAAATGGTCTTCGAGGTTCAATCTAGCACATCCGTTTTTTTTCTTTTCTTCTTTTTTTCCTCCCCGCATTATGTTTTGGCAGCAGGGAAGTTAGCTTGTTACACTGTGGAGATTTAGTCATGTGTTAAAGTCGAGCTTCTGAAGTACACCCCCACCACCGCCACAACCTAACCCTCCTCTTGGTTTACAAGTCTGTTTTCTTCTCTCAATCCCTTTTTTTTCTTCAACTTGTCTGCTCATCCCTGGTGAATGTATTAAATGAAGTTACTAGATATGAGTGCTTAAGAGGCCAGGCCCTCTGAGGCTTGCCAAGTCTCTCACAGGCTTGGCTCAGTCATCCATGTCACTTTTTTTTTTCTGTTGTTTCAGCTACTGGCTGACTTACTTGTATTGCCGAGCGCTTTTCTCTCTTTCTCGCCTTGCTCTCTGTGTTTGCTGCCTCTGAGTGGCTTGTTTTTCCTCCAGTGTGGAGAAATCAGGCTAAAGCAAACAGTGTGTGTCAGCCACAGCTTTTGTTAAGTATTCATTTTTAATGAGCGTAAGTGGCTACAGAATCCTATAAACCATAAATGGAGTAGTCAGACTGGAGAGGGGGGGAGAGTGTGTTGGCCTTTGATTCAGGTGCAATCTCAGTCTTTTTGTTTAGTAACACTTGTACTAATTACGCTTGATGTGGATGAAGAAAACATATTTCAAAATCATAGTTTGTGCTGCTTTATTGTGCCATTTTTTCCTCCCTCATACGCCCCCTCTGGTTTTGTTAGCTCTTACCAGGAATTGTTCTTTAGGAAAAAGAGTGTCGCAGAAAAGTGTCATTTTTCCCTTTTGAGCAGCGTACAGCTCTTTTAGATTTAATTTCCTCTGAATTCAGAAAGAGGCACCAAGTATCCAGTTTTTGTTCTGTCAGGATCGAAGGCACTGCTAGTTGTAGGGGAGGTGTGTGTGTGTGTGTGTGTGTGGGGGGGGGGTTCGCTTAGGGAAAAGGTATTGTGATGGGCCGTTTGAATGCTGAACAGAATTGAATAGACACAGTCAGCTTCCCAGATACATGCTTAGGCCTGTAGAATGTGGAGTGCTTTGCTTGTAACTGCACCGGTTGTCTCCTTTCATTATCGGTTAATGGTGCCCAACTTGACAGAGCCATGTGATAAACAGTGGAGCTGTGAAATCCTGGAGGTGGAGTTCTCGTCTGCCTGATAATGGGATCTCATCTGCCGGGGAGGGGAGCCTGCCCCGCCAGCCAATCCAGCTTTGCTCTGCACTGCCTTCAGAGAGGATTCGCTGCACTCACCCTTCACTGCCGTCTTGGCCATAACTTAAGCCCCGACAAACCTACTGAAAATGTTGCCGTTTGACTGGTTTCTCACTGTAGCGCATGATAGTCATTTTTTGGAGCCTGAAATATCATTGGATTCCTTTTTAGGCTTTGATTGTACATTAGAGGCGTACATTTCCACCTTCTTATCAATCTTGGATCCTTTGAATGTTTGTGCAACTAAGGAAAGGGGGCAGACTGTGTGAGTGTGTGTGTGTGTGTGTGTGTGTGTTTAAATATCATAAACATTGACCTTGTGAAATGTATACATACTGTGATAAAGGAGGAGCTGTGGCTTCTGTGGTGTTAGGTTACTATGTGGAGGGGGGGAGTAGGACTGCTCAGGACAGTTTCCTCAGGAGCTGTGAAAGGTTTTACCAGCACTTTGTTACACAGCGCACCCCCCCCCCTCCTCTATGCTATTGAAACGAAGACGACCAACATGGTTTGTAGCACAATGAAGGACCCCCTGCACACCACCCTCAACTCAATTGCTATTGATCCTCACTGCCTGTCTCTCCTGCTGCCCAGCTTTAGTGCAAAAAAAGAGCCCAATGCACAAACTATTTGGTTTAGTTAATTGGATTTTGACAGTGATCCAATATCATGTTTAAGACAATGAAAATGTGTCAAGCTCGCTCAGTGAAATGGAAATCATCCTATTAATTTATAACTTAATGCAGTCCATCTTTGTTTCCCCTGCTCCTCTTAGTGTGTGTGTGTGTGTGTGTGTGTGTGTGTGTGTGTGTGTGTTGGGGGGGTGTCATGTTTTTTAAAGATAAAACAAAACCTAATGTATATTTTTCTACATACAAAACGGTACAAAACGAGAATGGACACCTTGAAAAGAAAAAAAAAACAGGATCACATTTTGATGTGATGTGCAGGCTAACCATTAAAATCAGACTCCCCAAATATTGCTAATGGACTATTCACATTATCATCCCTGCTTGTTTCTGCCTTTTTAATGGGTGGGGTGACTAATTAATTCATTATCCAAAAATGCAAATGAGATCCACAAGCCCGAGCAGCATTCAAGTCGCTTTCCTCTTGTGCATTTTCCATCAGACGCATATTGTAATGTTCTCAGACATAAGCATGTATTTAACAACATTTTACTATTATTATTATTATTTTAACCATTAAAACGTGCTGGGTGGCATTGTACAGACATACATAAAAGTAAGGCTATTGAGCCATTATTAACAAGACACTACTACCACCACCACCACTACTACTTCTAGCTTTCATTGTCTCGCTTTAGTGTTTCAGTTACATTCCCATAAGCGTTACCATTGATCGGTTGATGATGGTCGGTCAGGCCACTTTTTGGCTGCCGTGCATCGTGGTGCAGTTGCAGGCAAACAAACACACACACACACACACCACACACACACACACACACACACCGTGCAGGCAGCGTTTCCCTACGGGGGCTGCCATCAATCAACAGTCACATTGGCGCCCCCCACCCCAACCACCCCTTTGTCCCTGACGATTATTTGAATCCAGTCCATGTTTTTGTTTCGCTCGCATTTTTTTTCTCCTTCTCTCTTATTTTTTTTTTTGTTGAGTGTGGTCGGGGTAATTCTCCTTCACTAGTGTCTGGATAAAGAAAGACTAGGTCAGCCATGTGGATGCGTCTGTTGAACAGCTGAAGAGGAGGGAGGAGGAGGAGGGAGCGATAGGGGGAGCGTGGAGTGAGTGTGTGTGCATAGGAAAGAGAGAGAGAAGAGAGGGGAGAGAGAGAGAGAGCGCGCGGTGTGTGTGTGTGTGTGTGTGTGTGGAAAAAGGAAGCGGAGCCTGTAAACGGCGAACTCACTGGTTTCCTACCCCTCGAAACAACTAACCAGCGCTGTTGTTACTTTTCATGTGGACACTATCATCGGCAGCACCGACAACACGGCCAAAGGGAATAGGAGCAGTTCCGAGGAGGAGGTTTCTTTTTGGGGGGGACTAGCAAACGTTATAGTGCCTTTTTTGCTCGGTGATTTCGGACGTGAACAGTCCATCAGTAAAGTGAAACCGTCTTTTGTTGAAGCAAGTGCTCGCCTGAACCCCTCCGTGCGGACAGCGGGGTTAAAAAGAAACAACAAAAAAATAGCCGGGGGCAATACAAGAGGGGGAAAAAAACGTGTCCGTGTTCGTCTCGTTTTTTTGGTCCCGGTTCTTGGATTTGGCCCAGCTGGCTTAAGTTCGGTGGGTCATCCAGTGGGGGGAAAGGATCCGCGTTTTCAACTTGTTTGCAGCGGTCTCTGGGACTCCAAGAATCACCAGACTGGCGGGTGAGTAGTTGAATACAAAAAAAGATTGCAGGACGGTTGTGGTCGGAGGAGGAGGAGGGGGTGCAGACAGAGGGGGGGGGGAAGCAATGTGTGGGTGATTTTTTAAAAAGAAAAAAATGGAATTTAGGCAGTAGTGTTGGTTAAAGCCGGGTGGCACTTAGACTTTGACCTAAAAGTGTCTAAATTGTGTTTATACGCGGAGGAGGAAGCGCTTGTGACCTCCAGTCAAATGTTTCTGAGTGCTGAAAGTTTGGCTGCATTGTTGCAAGTTTTTACTCTCTCGCTCTGGACGGTGCAGCAGGACCCTGGAGCAACCTCCATGACCTGCCCCCCTCCAACCCTGTAACAGGGCTTGCAGCAGCTAATGGTTTCAAAGTGAGAATAATGAAGTAAACAAAAAGAGAGTTTAAATGGCAAACTACCTGAACAGGAAACACACATCAAAGATGTTTTATTTAAAAAAAAACCCCAACTACTTGTGTGAGTGTGTGTATTTGAGCAATCAGTCAACTTCGAGGAACGAAAAGTCACATTTTGACAGGGAAAAATGTTGAAATAGATCCTGATGAGTCAGTGGCACATAAATTTGATGGGTGGGATTTCCCCCAGTTTCACATAAAGGATTGGCTGTTGGATTTACAACCTTGCTCGTGTCATAAATTGATTATTGGACTGTAATAATGGAAAGTAGCTGGGTCTTGGGTAGGGGGCAGTGTGTGTGGGAGACCTGCTCAGCCAGTTGCAAACTGTTGAAGGACCTCCAAATTAACTTGACTTCCCCCCTTCAGCACCCCAGAGGCTATGAACTCTGGCCCGAGCACATGCAGCTCTCACTGTGAGGTGGGGGGGGTTGTGCCTGTTGTTGAAAAGAGGGGGGGGGGCGCTGGATGGGTGGTGGGGTGGATGTGTGTGTTTTAGGAGGGGGGCAGCTTAGGATTTGAAAGCAGACTACAGTTATTTGTCTGAAAGGCAGCTTATCTAATGTTTTCCACTTATAGTAGAAAAGGGGGGAGGAGGGCTTGTTTACTTAACTCACTGTAAAATTGGTCATAGTAAGTCTTCATGTGACTCCAGTCAGAAGCTGAATCCGCAGGGTATGTGGCCACATAAGCACAAAGAAAGCTTCAGCCCTGACACAAGATTCAAATCATTGAAGAAGGGAAGAGGGAGGGAGGGGCAGTGATTGCCTTCAATCTCTGCCATATAAAAACAATCCCTTCCTGAAATCCTCCCCCCGCTGCTGCGTTTTTCACTCAACTATTACAAGGACTCAGATGTTGCATCGCTAATTGTGAGGAGCTAATCTCCACCATGCCCCAGCTTCCTGTGGCATTTTTTTGTGCCCCCCTTGCTAGCTGAGAAGTGACCTCTAGCTTAATGATTTGAGATGTGATTAATCCACTTGAGTGGGAAGACACTGCACGGGATAATGTATGGCACAAGCGCCGCGGATAATGGATGGTTGTTGGAACATAAAGGACATTTGCTCCACGTTAAAATAAATAAATAAATAGTTTGAACATTCGAGGCCTGCTCGGTCTTAAAAGTCACGCGATTGTGAATATGGTAAATTATATAAGTCATGAGGTGCAATTATAGTTAAAATGTTAACAGTGGTTTCTTTCTTAGTGTCCCTGTGACTCACTACTCTGAACAGCGCTCAACTGTCAGTCCGTGCTCTCTAATCTTTGATTTAGATATCAGTAGTAGATGGAGTGTGAAGATTAGGCAGACAACAAGACTTGCTTCCCTTTTATTGATGACGATCATGTGATGTGACTTCTCATGAGTTTTATTTGCGCCACCATATCGGCTGGCAATATGGCGGTGTAAACAAGACGGCGCATTCCAGTCTCATGAGTGACACTGAGGCCTTTCTCTTTTTCTGGTCACTCACTAGAGCTTTTTTCCATGTATACTTTTTTTCCCTTGTTTGGTGGTAACTTACTCAGGAGAAGGATAGCCATTTCCTTTTATAAGAGTGTCTCTGAAATGGTAACCACTTGTGCGGCAGAAAACATTTTGTTTATGTGGGTAACTTGCAATCAAAGTCACAATCTCAGCCTCCAGTGTCATGTGGGAAAACATGCATAGCTTGCCTTTCTGAACACATTTTGAAATGGCATGAGCCTCACTTCCCCCAGAGGTCATGATATCCATTTAGTTTCACTACTTGTGGATTGAATGAAAGAGGAAGTGGTCAGCCCTCTTAATGGAGTTGTACACAAGGGTACGAGTTGTTCTGCAGTGTGGGATTTGCATGGGAAAGAGAGCACTGAGCGTTTCACGGTGAGTCTGCCGTCAGATGAGAATATAGCAGCCTAAATCTTAATTATGTACACACCACCATACTGCTGTCGGTATCATTTCATATCATCTCCATTTGCAGTGCTTTGTACTAGTGTTTTGTAGGAAATTAAATCTGATGTGCAATTTGATCTGGGTCTGAGTCCGCAGTCTGTGTTTCATGTAAACCAAGGGAAGCATAGTAGCGGTGTGAGTCACCCCCCTTCACAAACACAAGTCTCACCGCTGACAAGGTACAGAGAGCTAGTAAACATTCAGCTCACATACGGGCGCGTGTATGAGTGTCACCTCTGAGGAATCTGAGGGGCGATATCCGGATCAAAGGGGCTGTTTCCGACCATACAGAGAGAGATGCTTCATAGAGTGAGGCTGTAACGGCTGTCTAGCTGCTCAGAGGCGGCTGAATGTTTGACAGGGCATTGGAAAAACGTTATTTAATCTGCTCGCATGATGGTCCTCACTGGGATTGCACCACGCTGTGTCTCTGCCCCCTTTTTTTCCCTCCCTATGTCAGGATGATGGCAGTTTCTGGCTGGTAGAAAAAACGTCAGAGGTTGTCTGTGTTGTTTTTTGGTTGTTGTTGTTTTAACTGTATGATGTAATGCATAAAGAATCAGAGAAACTGTTATTGATGCAATGTTGGCAGGCCTCTATTTTTCTTTCTAATGAGTAAGTATGCTGGGGTCTTGATATCTTTTCCAATTGGGTAATAGTCTGAATGACTTAACTGTATTCCATTGCAATTACAAAGACATGAGCCAATTGTTATGATAATGAGCCACATAAATGAAGACAGATGTGATGTTTGACCCATTAAAAAAACAAACAGTTTGTAAAATGCTGTTCAGATTATCGTAGGTAAATTACACCTCTGGCCCTTTTGGTTGTGTGACTGTTGTTTAACTGCATACATCTCTCAGCCACATAAAAGGTATCGCTCGCAGTTACCCTCCCACTTTTGACCCCCCAGCAATACAGAAACGCGAGAGCCGCCTTGTCATAAAGCCAGGCGGGAAATCAATGAGGAGTCATGGCTTCCATACCATTGTTGGTGTCATTTCCATCCCCCTACACCAAAGCAGACTCATGGTTTTGAGGAGCGATGATAAATCTCTTCAGGTCTCGTTGATTCTTCAGACGGGTTTCATTTCTAAATGGAACGAGTCAGCTTGGCACTTCCTGACCTATTGTCCTTGCAGATAGTGGTTTACCAGTGACGCATTTAGAATACATTAACCACTGATTGACATAGTACACATGAAACGCTGCTAAGGAGGCAGTACCCTCTGGTGGGTGACTACTGAAATAGAGAGTGATGAAGGACTGGAGAGGTGATTCGATTGTTCATAGAAAATTCCATCTAATTTGTTGTGTGCACAGAGGAAGGGCCGATATCTTTAATTAACATAAACCTCAGGAGCCAACGATGAGTGAGAAATTGGGATAATTGAAAATAGGCCCAGTCTCCTTTTCCCCCTCTCTCTGTCTGTACATCCTTAAAGCAGCTGAGCCCATCGGAGGGCACTTTCACACATGTTAAGTGGGGGGACATCTGGCCTCGTTAATTCAGTGCATGGTCATAAAGTGGAATGGCGATCCCCACAGGGGCCGCCTGCTCTGAACACCGTCAGATGGAGCCTGTGTGTCCTCGCTGCCTCCTCGTCCTCCCTGTTGACTGTCCCTCTGACACCAGCTCTGACACTTGAACAAGAACGTCCTCACAGTCCCACTATGATTGCTTAAACACAGATGCTGATGTCCGAGGGAGATAAAGTGGCAGTACATAAATCTTCACAGGCCAGAAAATGTGTAAACTGTGAGGCTGTAATGTGTGCTTTTCTTGACCAATCCTAATTTTCATGTACTAAATACATACAAGCAAAGAAAATATAATGCTCTGTGGGAATTTAGCATTCAACTACACCGAAACAGCTATCCCCCCCACACCCCCCACAATATATTGGATATCGGTAGCCCGTGTCCATTAAGTGTTTGTGTTATGATGAGTGGGCTGTCAGAGTCTATATTCCAGTATCCACCTTACGTTCCTGCATCCTCAGGAATGGTAGCAAATAATCAAGTGACAGCAGCAGGGAAGCATTCATGCTGCGCATTCATTTCCTATTTTAGCAAGTAAACATTTAATGTGTTTAAATGTATCACAGCTTTATTTATGCATAGAATCTGCTGTTAAGTCTGAATTATACATTAGCCAATGAATAATGCATCAGTGCCATTCCTTAATGATTACTTGCCAGGCAGCGAATGGTAATATTTGCTGATAAATTTACCCATTGATCTTGCTTGTGTTCAACCAGCCTTGTAGAGATGATGTTTGCTCCATTTTGTGTTGAGGGAGGGGTTCTTTTTTTGTCAAGGATGCAATCAAAAGCAAGCTAATTGTCTGGGTTTTTGAAGATGTCTTTTAAAAATGACAAGCAAGCCCCGAGGAATTAAAGCAAAAAGGATACAATCTGAATTCTCCAAGCGTGTACTACTTAGTACTTTTAGTTATCCTTTTTTTTTTTCTGTATGGTTTGTGTTTATATACTGTTCTCTTCATAGCTGCTCCTAGGATGAGTTATTCATCGTTAGACCTCGACAGATCAATGTCCCATTACAGTTTTGTCTTTGTTGGCTCGTAGCCATTACACAACGAGTATGTTTGTTTGATGTAGAGTCTAGACGATGTC